TGATGTATTTACCTAACTATATCATAATATTTCATATAAACATATGTAAAACCTCTTTTATAGAAAAAAAAACCTTAAAAACCATTCATAAAAAAAAAATCTTAAAAATATATATAAAAAAAAAGAGGTTTTTTCTAACTATATACAAATATGTGCATAATAATATATCTATATATATATAAATGAAGGGAAAAAAAAATATACAAAAGAAAGTAAGTTAATTTTGTTGTATACAAGTAACATAAAAATTTACATCACTAAGGGTTTGTTTCATCAATAAACGGTTTTTTTTTTAAAAAAAAAAAAAGAAAAGAAAGACTGATTTAAAAGAATGTCCTTTTTTTTGCCCACCCCATCTCCAAATTAGACAAAAAAAAAATAAAGAAAATAAAATAGTAAAAAAAAATGAATGTAAGTTCTTCTATTGAAGAATGAAAATGAAATAAATGAGTGAATAATTTTAATATGAAACTTAAAAAAGTTCTGAATAAAATTGAAAAAAAAACGAATAATAAAAAAAAAAAAATAGTAAATGTCGTAATCGAGAGATAAAAACAGTATTTAAAAACGTAAAATCCTTAAACAGGGATTCAAATCGATAAATTAAAGCAAGTTTTTTTTAAACCAAAATAATTTTTTAGTTTTCCAACGGTTTTGACGATTTAATAATAACGACCTACAGATGGTAGAACTTGCACAAAGGCAGATCTACCGTATTCAAAACCAAATGTTGGATGATTATTTGGAGATACGGATGTTGTATTAACAACATTAGAAGTATTATTGGCGTTATTATTTGTGAGTGGGGGTAAAGTTCGTGAAAACCCATCATTAACTATATCAGAAATTCTATTACTCAAAGCAGGCGTTGAATTGGTGAAATTAGCAAATTTCCATTGAGAATTACTGGGATTCATTCCACCATAAAAAGCAAAAATATCTGACCCCACCACATGAGGACCTAAAGTAGGAGAATGAGAAGGAGTTACAACTTCGTGTTCCTCATCTGAGCCACTATCATGACACATTGGTGGAGAATTAGATTGTCCATCAATTGAAATTGCAGATAATTGGGGACTTAAACACATTATATCATCATCACAATATCTTTGTCTTTTCATTGAAGAATAATCTTGAAATGCGGTAGATTGATGAGAACGAGGGAAACAACCTCCATTCATTGATATAGCAATTGATTGATTTTGATGCATTTGATGATGATTAGCATTTATTAAATTATAACTCCCACTCATAACACTACTAGCACTTGAAGTACTTGAAGTACTAGAACAACTTGAAATACTACTATTACTATTACTTCTACTTCTGAATTGAGTAAGCATAAAATTTAAATCTTCATCTTCGTCAAATTGTTGTGGATGTTGACGATAATCAAAAGTAGGAGGAGGAGGAATATTATTGGGTTTAAATTCAACACCATTAATCTTCTGTTGTTGTTTACGCTTATCCCTTTTATTAGTATTCGTATGAATACGTTTATGTCTAGTCAATTCATCAGATCTAGAGAAACGTTTTTCACAACCAGGAAAATCGCAACGATGTGGTTTTTCACCAGTATGAGTACGAATGTGTCGTGTTTGATGTTCTAATCTATAAAAAGCTCTGCTACAAATAGTACATTTATAAGGACGAGGAACATTTGATTTATCCACGGTAGATTGAGACCTTTTTTTAGTATTATTACTATGATTTGCATTGGTATTCGGATTTGAGGCGTTGGTATAAATTTGATGGTATTGGGGCACATCATAAGTGAAAATTGGAGTAGGATGCGGATGCACAATATGGGATAAAGAAGCAGCAGCCATTTTTTATTTAAGATTTGATTGAAAAAAAAGGGAATAAAAAAATTATACGTTGGGGAGAGAGAGAGAAAAAAAATAAAATAAAATATGTGTTTTGTACGTGAAAAAAAAAAACACTCGATAAAAA